GCTTTAAAAAAAAACTTTTTAAGAATCTCATAACCATAGTCTTTCACTTTTCAGTATATGCTTAATGAAATCTAATATTTTATTAGCAGTAAGAAACTGTAGATAGAGTTTCATGTTCAAGTTGCTGCTAGCAGGCCAATATTGCTGGATTGGAGGGAGAGTATATTGTGAAAAGACTAGGAGGGACCAAGTTCTAAAGAGTCTTGTCTCAAATGAGACATGGGGGTGTATTTATCCTGTAGGTAATAGAGATTCCCTGGAGCTTCTTGAACAGTGGAGGTGAAATGGTCAGACTTACGCTTTAGAAATGCCACTTTGCCAGCTAAGTAGTATTTTGATATAGAGATTTGCGGTATGGAGACCAATTTGAATGCTATTGGACATGATAGTCCAGGCAAGAGGTGATAAGACCTTGAATTTGAGTTTTGGCTGTGTAAAGTAGAGAGAAGGGGACATAAATGAGAGACATTTTTGAAGGTAGGAACAACAGAATTTTGCAGTGGATTTGTAAGAGTGAGATTGAGGAGTCAAGGATTACACCAAGATTGCAGTCCTGAGTGGGAAGATGGTGGTAGCAATAATAGGGAAGTTCAGAAGTGGGGAGTATTGAGGGTTGTTATGAGGTAATGAGTTCAGTGAAAGATAGATTTTTACTATACATATTTTATTTTATTCATATGTTTTATATATATATATATATTTGTGTTAGTTTGAGGTATTAGTGAGACATCTAATTCTAGATATCTTAGAGGCAGATATGTGACTATAACTCGAGACTGTAACTGTCTGAATGAAAATCATCTGAATGGAAATTGTAATTTTCCTTCTTGGAGCCAGTAAGATCAAGTGAGATAATTTAGAGAGAAAGGAAGGTCCAGAGATAGAGCTTTGGAGGACACCTATGATTGGTAGATATGAACTAAATGAAGAACCAGTGAAAGCGTATCAGAGAAATAAGAGAATGGAAGAAAATAGTGCTACTAAAACCCACAGAGGAAAGAATATCTAGAAGGTGTGATCAGCAGAATCAGATGATCCAGAGAGAGCCAGGACAATCAAATTAGAGAAAATGCCTTTAGATGTAGCAATTAAAAGATTAGTACTATTTTTGGAGAGAGTTTCAACTGAATGGACAGCATGTGAAGCCAGATTTCAGAGGGCTAGAAGAGAGTGAGAATAAATGAGGGCACTGAGTATAGATGACTTTCAGTGGGGCAGCTAGGTGGTGCAGTGGATAAGAGTCCTGGAGTCAGGAAGACCTCTTGCTTCAGACACTTATTAGCCAGGGGACCCTCAACAAGTCACTTAATCCCTGTTAGCTCAGGTTCCTCAACTGTAGAATGAGGGTAATAGTAGCACCTACTTTCCAGGTTGCTGTGAGGATCAAATGAGATGGTAATTGTAAAGTGCTTAGCATAGCACCTGGCACATAATAAGTGCTACATAAATATTAGCTGTTATTATGTCAAGAAGAGGATTCATGAAGGGGATGATAGATACAGGATGATAGCTAACAGCAGTGATAGGATTTAATTATGTTTGTTTTGTTTTGTTTTTAAGAATGAGGAGATGAGTGCATATTGGCAGCACAGAAGGTGCCAAAAGAAAGGAAGAGAGAGAAAGAAGATGATAGTGGGGGCAATCTGCTTGATAAGACGGTGATAGATTTAATATTACATGTAGAGGGATTGGCTTGGATAAGAGGAACCCAACTCTGCATCTGAATGAAGGAGGAGATAGTAGGAAAGACAGTTGAATAAGATGAGATGAAGAAAATCATAGTAGGAAGCTTTCAGTAAATAGTCTCAATTTTTAAAAATTTAAGTATGAAGTGAAATCTTTAGTTAAGAAGATGGTGGGGAAGGGGACCTGTGACAAGAAACCGTAAAAGGAAGTTTGAAATACCCTTTTAGCATTAGCTGATCGAGGGGAGAAATTTAATATTTGACTTTTGAAACCATGAGGATCCACTAGAGATTAGATAAAAGTAAATTTGTAGTGAACCCATTCAGCACAATTTCATGATTTAGTCTTAGTTCATTTAGCAACACATCAGTAGAAGATAGTTGGTCACACGTCATCCAGGGCTGGGGTTTGGCATGGCTTGTTTAACAAATAGGACAAAGGATGGAGGATGCGGTCAAGTTAAAGTGATTCACCAAGGTCTTGAAATTGGAAAGAGTTGAGAGTATAGCAAGTACAGAAGTTATGACTTAGGAAAGAAGTAAAAGATAGAAGGAATGGAAGCGGCTATGTGAGGACAAAGAACAGAGTTAGACATCATAAGACACAGGAAGGATTGTGATCATAGAACAAAGAAGTGAAGTTGATACCAGGATAAAAGATATGAGCATATATATGAGAAACTGAAGTGGAACAGGGCAGTTATGGGAATTTAGTGGTGATTAATAAATTTAGAAGTTTTTTAAAAATTTAGAATTTTTGTAGTGGTTTCATTATAATGAAGTATAAAGCTTCATGGCAATGAACAACATCATGTTACACTCAACTTATTAAAGCATTTTTAAAAACTAGTGGGGGGGGTTGTTGTCCTGCTGTTTCTACAACATGGGTCTTTAAAATAATACAGTTAGTTATTGAGACTAATGCCATGTTTACTTAAGGCATGACCGTATCAAGTTAAGTGAAAGGTGTACTTTTTATATAATAACGATTCTGTAAGGTATTGTTCCATGAATTCTTGAGAATAGGCAGTGGAGTACTGTTGTAGGAAAAAAGACCCAGCTGATCTTTTGAAGTTCAGGATTTTTAAAATAATAAATAAAACATCCTAATAGATAAATAGGAAACTAGCCTAGATATCACTAACCCTATAGGACATTTGTTAGAATTAGTTGGTAAAACACACTCAACATTATGTTTATGACATAGGCTAAAAGAAGGGACAAAAAGTGAGAAAAGACTATCATTTAAAAGTGGTAGATAGTTTTAATATGACATCCACTGGATTTCATTTCTGGTAGTTTTCATGCAAAAGAAAGTTCTAGTGTTTATATTCCCTCTTGTTCTCCTAGATCCCTTACCTGAATTAAGAACAAATAATATTTTTAAACATGTTTTTATATTATATTGCTTTACAAGATACTCTACACATACTGAGTCCTCTGTGTTAGGGAATACATAGGTTATACTTCCGGTATTTCTACTTGGTGCCTTACTGCATCTCCTCTTTAAGGAAAAGTAGAGAACAGCCTTCACAACAGATGAGGGAGGAAACATTTATCTTGACTTTACTTACTTCTTGTAAGTAAGTGACTTGTTCAGTTAGGTCCCTTTACCATCTGCTGCCCAGAATTAAGCATTATGGCACATAGTTTTAAGTTTAGGCTTGAAATTTTAGAGGTTCAAAAAGCATAATCTTTCATTATGCAATTAGGAATTCTCCTGAGCTTTCATGTCATTAATAATTATTAAAGAATTATAAATAAAATTTGGAAGCAGAAAGGACTTGAGTTCAAATCCTGCCTCTAGTACTTAACTAGCTTTGTGACCCTGGGCAATTCATTTAGCCTTTGTTTGCTTCAGTTTCCTCATCTGCAAAAAAATGGAGATAATAATAGCACTTCCCTCCCTGGATTGTTGTGAGGTCACATGAAATTTTATATACATACATACATACATACATACATACATACATACATACATACATATATATAAAATGTTTTGCAAAGCCCAAGTGCTAAAAAAAAAAAAAGAATGCTATGTATTATTATTAAGTATTATTAAATAAATATCCCACTATGGCAAAATGAGCATGTTAGGAAAATGAAGATTATTGACATAGTCTGTGACCTAAGAACAATCTGGTTAGGGATAGGGGGAGCGTAAAACAAAACTAAGTATACCTTGTGGTACAAAAAAGGTTAAAAACAGCAACACAAAGTTTTGTGACCTTGGCCAAGTCACATCACCTCTTGCCACTTGTGCTCATCTGTAAAGTGAGTAGTTTGAAGTCCATAATCAAAAGTCCCTACCGGCTCTAAATCTATGTATGAGCCCGTGACTTGCTACTGAGGAGATCAGGGAATAATAACCAAAGAGGGCATTGACATGTGTTTTGAGCGCTTCATGTAGTCTAATTTGTTGGCCTATAGTAGGGTATGAATAGGTTGAAAGTCTGTAGAGGTAAGTTGGAGTGAGGATGCAAAGGATTTAGAATTCCTGGTTTTATTTGGTAGATAGTATGGATTCTTCAAATGTTTTACAGAGAATCAGAGCTCTTTTTTAAGAAAAATTATTCTGGTGGTGCTGTGGGAAATAGAGTAGAAAGGAGAGAGGTTTGAACTGGAACATCTATTAGAAAAGCTATTTCAGTAGTTCACAGAAGAGGTAATGAACTAAGGTGGTGGCAGGGCAGATGCAAGAGGGATGCAGCAATAAGAAAGGCAAGGATGATGATGCAATTAACAAATGATTGGGGGAGGGGAGGAGTATTTCCATGAAAACCAGAAATTTAGTATTTCTTTTTATTTAGGTTAAACTTGAAGCTTTTGATAAGCAAATTGAATTGAAACCCTATAAATATATGTGAATTGTGATTGCTGCTCTTTATAGGCATTCAACTGGGCTTTTTTACTATGAAGACAAAAAATGCTTATTGCAATGTTTTAATATCATTCTATAGTTGAAATTGATCATTCTTTTCTGAATCACTTGATAATATTTGCCTTTTTATGTAATGAGTAAAATGATGCCAAAGAAAATAATACTGTGAGTTTAATGTTGTCATTTATCTCGTCAAAGTAAATCTTTAAAAAGGACATTAAGAAATTGAACATTGCTGTAGTGTAGAATCTGCTTCCCATGTGTTAGTGCCCTTTTGCTCTAAGCACCTGGTGCCCAGTAGCACAAAAAAATTTGCAAGTGTACCTGTTTTAACAATCAATGTTAATCTATCAAGAGCATATTAGTACAAATTATTCTAATGAACTAAATGTATTTTGAAATAATAAATGGTGTTCTATTTTTCACCCATGTAGGCAGAAGGAGAAGACAGCCTTAAGAAGATGCAGTTGATGGAACTTGCAATTCTGAATGGCACCTACAGAGATGCCAACATTAAATCACGTAAGAATTAGACTAGCCCAATATAATAGCTATTTCTGCTTGTTTTTGTCAACAAACCTTTCTCCTTTTAGCAGGAGTACATATGAACAGTGGTAGATCTATTGAAACAATTGTGCATTTGGTACAGAGTCAACACTACCTTTTTAAATCCTTTTGCAAATTAAGAACCTTCTATTTATGTTATCATGCCAACATGTCTTGAGTTATGGTATTTTAGAATATATTTTTGTTGCTTTCCTTGTAAGTTCAAGCTCTAGACTTGAATTCCTACTTCATAAATAAGTAACAATTTGACATTAATTTATAACTCCAAATAGACATACATTCTTACATATATGTGCGCGCACACACACACACACACACACATATATAAAATGTATTTTCAACATTATAATGAAGTTTATCTGAAAGAAAGTGTATATTAAATTCTTTCCTGTCATCTTGCTTGCATGTTTTCTGTCTTCTTCTTCTTCTTCTTCTTCTCTTCTTCTTCTTCTTCTTCTTCTTCTTCTTCTTCTTCTTCTTCTTCTTCTTCTTCTTCTTCTTCTTTTTGGCTATTGATTTCACATGAGAGCTCACAGGAATTAGTGGTTGTCATACTTTTTCATTCACGTTTTCCTTTTTATGTATTTGAGCATGCTATAAGGATGTTAAATTTTCATTTGAAAATGATCATTGAGTTTCATAGTGATGGTGTATAGGCTAAGTACATGCACAAATAGGAGTTTTATAGTTTCATATGAAAGCAAAAGGAGAACTGGGGGGAAAATCTATCAAATGAGTAAAATGTAGTTAACCACTGTTTTAAAGTAATTCTGGTTTGCAACAAAATTCACTTGAATTTTCTTCTGAAAGGGTTAGAATAATATTAATAGAAGTACAATAAAGGCCTTTTAGATTACTTCTCTTAAGAAGTAATCAACTAATGCAGCTGCTAGAAATAATATCATATCTGTCTACTGAGAGCTTGGCTTAACTTCAACCTGAAGAAAGCCAGTCTTTCTCCAAGTTGAATCCTAGGCTGGTATTTACAAATACTTACACATAACTATATTTCTGTAAACTCTTAATTATAGGATATTTTTCATACTCTAAATATGTAATAGTGTTTCCTTTTGCCCTCCTGCATGCATTTTAGTCTCATGCAGTCTTTAAAAGCATAGGTAAATTAAATATGTGAACTAAAAGAAGCTTTTGTGCTCTGTAACCTGTTAGTCTAGCTTACCTTTTTGATGGCTTTTTTATTTTTGCATGTTTATTCTTAATCTCACTGGGAAAGGGTAAGCTATTTGTGCATTTGATTGGTGTGCTTTGGCACTTCGTGTGATCAGCGCATGTACTAATGATTTCCTTTTATTTTTCTTCCTTCCTGCTTTTTTCCTTTCTTTTCCCCATTCCCCCTCATTCTTTCCATATTTTGTACTGCTGTCTCTATACTTCCTTCTAAATTTCTTTGCTTACTGTAGCAGCCCTTGCCTTTTCTCTTGCAGCAACAGCCCAGGCTCCAAGGATTATTACTGGGCCTGCGCCTGTTCTCCCACCAGCTGCCCTGCGTACTCCTACGCCAGCTGGCCCTACCATAATGCCTTTGATCAGACAAATACAGACCGCTGTCATGCCAAACGGAACTCCTCATCCAACTGCTGCAATAGTTCCTCCAGGACCTGAGGCTGGTTTAATTTACACACCCTACGAGTACCCTTACACACTGGCACCAGCTACATCAATCCTTGAGTATCCTATTGAACCTAGTGGTGTATTAGGTAAGTTTATCTCCTGAATTGATTGGCTTAGCTCTTGATCACTTTACCAGAAGTCTGTGATCCATTTTTTCCCAGCATGTAACTTTGAAAGTACTATAAGAGGTCAAATAAAGAATTCATTAAAAGATTCCATTACAGAAGAACATTGACTTAAGTTTTTAGCTCTGTTCTATTTAAGTTCTACTTTTTGGATAACTATAGTACAGTTTTTCAAAATTGCTGTCTATATATTTTATTTAAACTGATCACATCACATGCATTTTGAACAAACTAATTTTAGAATTGCTGGGCTTTTTTTTCCCCCTAAAATTTAAGTTGCATTATGTATCATTTCCTTTGGAAATATTTTATATAGTTCTGTAAACCATTCATAAAAACATTTTACTATATCTTACATTTATTTTTTAATATTTTAAAGAATGATCTGATAATTATCAGATATTCCATTCTTCAAAAATATTTATAGATCTCTGTCTTTTGTATGAAGTCCTTGCTAACACTGAAAAGTAAATGCTACTTTTAATTGCTGTGGTACCATATAGAATTGAGTAAAAGCTATGTCATTGATCCCTGAATGACATTTCTAAGTGAAAATAAAAATTGTAATTTACACTTGGTTAAAAACTACAAGACGTGAACAAAAAGTGGTGTGCTCAGAGACATTACTGATGCCTTTTTTTTATAGAGTGGATTGAAATGCCAGTCATGCCTGATATTTCAGCCCATTGACTTGCTGGATGAAGGACTAGAATACAGCAGCCGTTATAACACGACCAGTCAATGTGGAACAAACTCTTTGAATGCAACCCTTTTGTTTTACCAAACAGAATCTGAATAATTTTTCCTGGTTTTTTTTTTTCCTTTCTTGAAATTGTATATGACCATGGTGCTGCATGCATGCTGTTGATTTATAGGAATTTGAACTTTAAAGGTTTTTTTTTTTCAGCATTAGTATTGATTACAAATTCTGAAAGTCTCTAATGATCACTGGACACTCAGATTCAAAGTCATTAGCTTGTTAAGACAAATTTATTGCTAAATATGTGAAGACAAGATGCTCTGTTATCTGTGTGTACGTGCGCAAATGTGCCTTTTGTTTAAAAATTTTTTTTTATCGTACGTGTGTTTTCAATTCATTACTAAAACATTGTATAAAATAACTCACTGGTCAGAGTCACACCACAGAGCTGTTCATAAGAGGCTTATTTTCTATTGCACATTTCTTGAAGCATTTTCAAAATAACCTTTAACATTTAACCCTTTTAAAGTTTTACCTTTTTATTAATATCTTGCCCTGTAATCCCATGCATGCTCTTTTTCTACCCAGAACTCCTCTCTGCTGGCACCCACAGCATCTGTTAATTTAAAAAAAAAAAACTTTGCTCACGTGGGCTTTCCTGCAGGAGTGTAGCTCTTAGCCACCCACTATTGTTCTAGCAGTTAAGAAAGATAGGCATGATTAGTTCACGTAGAATCTACTTTTATGTGACTAGGTCATCTAAAGTAAAGAAATTATAACAAAACATTTTACTGCTTAGAAATAGCAAAGGACAGTGTGGCAAATAGTGTTTCTGAATTTAGAGCAAATTGAGCAGTGTTCTCTTGGAATATTATTTTGGGAGGGGGGAGATAGGAGTTTAGGTTGGTTTTTTGTTTGTTTTGGTTGTTGTTTTCACTGTAAACAAAACTTAAACAAATAGCTCACTTTGGAAAAAGATTTTCTCACCTGATTGGCATACATCCAGTAAATAAGAGTAAGGATTCAATAAGAATTAAATGAAATATTAAATGAAAACTTAAATATAGGTTATTTTGAAATTACTTGTTTTTGTTCATACTTTGCCATCTAAGCAGTAAAACACATTGGAGGGAATCAGTAAACTTTTAAACATTGCTGAGTCTTTAACCCATATGCACACAGATAACATGCATGTATGTCAATTTTCATGTTAAAATACTTTAAAATAAAATAAGTGGTGCCCTTCAAAACAGATGCAGACATGTGTGATGGTGGTAGTGAGGAGATTGGTAGTAGCATCGCATCAAATCTTCATTGATGACTAATTTTTAATTCCCTTCCTTTTATCTTTAGGTATGGCTTTCCCAACGAAAGGCTAAGAAATTCAAGAACGGTCTTAACTGAACCCTCATCTGATCTGAATTTAACAAATGCTTAGTTTCAGCAGCCTTGGAGGAAAAAAAAAAAGCTTAGCCTAGCAGTCAGTGACTTACTTGCACTTTTTGCACATAGATATAAAATAAAATTATGCTAATTAATTTGGTTTAGTCTGTACTATGAAAAAGTAGCTGTAATTTATAAAGGAGTGTATAGTAGTAAACTGACTGCTAAGTGTTCTATACTATTTGCTTTACTAATCACCTAATTCATTGCAGTTCATACTTATTGACTCAAAGTTTAAAATCACAGTCTGTAGGCTTTAAGAATTGCTTTTAAACTTTTCTAAGTGGTAGAAACTGGAAGTGGTCTTAAGGTTAGCAAATAATTGTCAGTATTAAATATGGCATTATTTAATTAGTCCTGCGCCAAGAAAGGCACTTCAGTGAATATGTGACTAGTAAAGCTTAAATGTGCTTGGGTCTAATAGATTTCATGGAATACTGTAATTTGGAAATCATAAATGAATGGATAAAACAGGTTAAGGCCAGAATGTTTGAAATGAATGCAATATTAGTATACACAAATATATTCTACATATTATAATTAAGTTTTAAAACTACTGTGCCTTAACTTCTTTCTTTCTTTCTTTCTTTCTTTCTTTCTTTCTTTCTTTCTTTCTTTCTTTCTTTCTTTCTTTCTTTCTTTCTTTCTTCTTTCTTTCTTTCTTTCTTTCTTTCTTTCTTTCTTTCCTACAAACGAATTTTTGTAGTAAATGAACATCCATTTTGATAAACCTGCTGTTATGTTTGTTTTGGGGTTGTGTGTTTTTGTTTTTGTTCTTTTTGTTTGTTTGTTTCTTGGGTTGGTTTTTTTTGTGTGTGTGGTGTTTTTTGTTTTATTACTATTTTTTTTTAATGAATGTCTTCTAACTTTGTCTTGGTAATTGCAATTTAACTAGGTGCGGTGGCTACTAAAGTTCGAAGGCACGATATGCGTGTCCATCCTTACCAAAGGATTGTGACCGCAGACCGAGGTTAGTTTAGTTATGCAGTTCTTGTGTATAAGAAATGCGTTGGGTATACATGAAATTTGTAACACCATGCCAGAGGAGTGTTATGGTGGGGGTTTTTTTTTCCTGTGCACTTCTGCTTTCCCCACAAATCTAAAAACATTTGTAATTTTAAAGACATTTTTTTACTGTTTTGGCTTCTCCCATCTTTAAACATACTGAATCATATAGGATTATCTAATGTGAAATGGTTTATAATATCTAGCAATATATAAAGGAATCATCCTTAGTTGGAGCTGTTAAAATTTTGATACTGACTTTTACACACACACACGCACACACACGAGAATTTTTTTGTTTAATCATTTAATTGACTCAAGTGTCTGTGTGGTGGTGCAAAATAAAATGGATGGATGGGTGCTTTAATGAGCAGGAAGTAAAGGACCTTATTCCTCCCAAGTACTTCTGAAGAAAACTGAAGATTAATTTTATTTCCTTTTGTGATAAAACTATTTGAGCCACTGCATAAACGTGAGGAAGTGCTTGTTGAGTACCTAACTGAAGTCAGCAAAGTAAGGACTGTGAAGATTACTATAGAAGGTAGTTGGATTTATATGAATCAGTAAAAGCAGTTTTCTTTTACTTTTTCATTCTCTTGCTAAAATGGATCCTTTGACACCTATCATTTGCTGCTAAAATACATTGTCTGAAGGTAAAATAACTTTTGAAGTTCTGCAGTGAAAATAGATCCAGTTATTTGGGATATCCCTGTTGACTAAACTTTGGAGAATAAGTCTTCATTTTTCTCCTTTTCACCATTATAATTTGCCACCTATAGGTACCCTTGGACCCTTGCATGAATTGTAAAGTTTATATTGAGAAGTGTTGTTTTCGGTTTATTGACATTGGATTATTTTCTAAGGCTTTCTCACTACAAAATAAGATTCCCAAACGAGATAGGAAAATCATTTTCTTCAGGCTTCTCAGATGGGGCACATTTGCTGCCTGACAATTCAGTTGGTCACTTATAAGTCTTTCTTATCAGTGGCAAACAGGGACAGGGCCTACACTCCAATTTTGTCATCTGTGAACTTATGAAGACCTACCTGCCTTACATGGTCACCATCCATTCTGTAATGTATTCCACTAAATTTGGACAGAGCCATTGTCCATACCAGAATAGTATGATTTTCCAAAGATAAATGGTAATGATATTTATTTAGCCTCTTATACTTAAACAGGCCTTGTATACAAGTTACACATAATCGTGTCATAAGAGAAATGCAGCAAGATCTCGGTAGTGAATTGACCATCCATGAAGATAACTACAGGTCATTTTCCTATGAAGTGTGTAATAATTTAAAAAAACCATGCACACATGTCTGCTTACATCAAAACAAGGCTTTGTGTGGAAAAACAAAGTGTGACCTTTATTTTTCTCGTCAAGGAAAATAGATAGTTTGACTCTTTTGGAGCTTTATTCTTATTGTTAGGAAACATTTCATGTAGAATATGAAATATTTTTTAAAATAGCTTTTCAACTGTAAGAACACTATTTCCATGTATGCCTCAAATTTTATTTCTTACACTTGTATTTTGAAACAGTGCTGGCATACATGCTATTCCTGAACCTTGAGGTGGTTAATGAGCAGATTAAAGGAAAATTACAGTGTTATTTGGGAATTGTCAACACATTCCATGTATAGCTGTTTTGTAATTATGTATGTGTTGATTAGTTTTGTTACTGATTTAATTCAAAATGCAATGTCAGCAAACCGAAATACTAATTTTTAATAGCAATACTTGTACACCACTGTCATGTCACCCACTACAAACCTGTCAGTCATTGGGTCTAAGGAGTATAGCTAAAATAACTCAAATTATTTTATGATACTACTGGATTGTTTGGGTTTATTGTTTGTTCTTTTGTTTTTAATCCAATGTATAGATTTAGAGGTAGAATAAGCATTACATATAATGCAAAGAAACTCAGCCCTTGGACATGTCAAACTGTGTTATCCTTATAAGCATGCCTTTTGGAATTGGTGAAGGTTTGACTAGTACAATTTTACTAAGAATAAGACCCAACTATAAATAAAACAAAACTGGATTTGATTCCTGTAACAGGCCGACTGACTTTTAATTGTAATGAATTGTAAATGGTGTTGCACACTTGATAAACCTGTGTGTACTGTAGAAGGCCAGGGACTTGGCAGAGGATGTATCCCAGGTGTACTGGTGTCATTAATTGGTAGCTTGTTTTGGTTATATACTTCACAAAAAGTAATGCCAAGAACTTTCTGATGTTTTTGCAGAAATTTTCATTCACTTAATTTATATAAAATGTAATACCATTTAATCAAAATTATAATCTGTATCAAGCAATGCTTTAAGATTCTGTATTTCTAGAATCTCTGTAAAGTGGTAAAATTGTGCCACATTAAATATTTATTTTTTCTTTGTTCTTGGAACAGCCGTTTTTAATTTAAACAAAATCCCAAGTAATAGAATTTTGAAGAATTTCAGGGAAGATGCGGTCACATTGAAGTTAGCATAATGATTTTAATGTTTATAAATTGTATCCTCAATGGTAGACCATAGAAACCATTTTAATTATATGAAGGTAAATCAGCCCATTATTTAGGTCATTTAAATTCTTATCTGTGAACATTATACCTACTGGATTTCATTTTATAAAATGGCACAGATCTGACTTTGCACTGAATATATTTCTCACTTTCATCTCCTCTGCCTTAGTCATAATGGCAACAGTACAAAATACTCTATCAAACCTCAGAATTTGTTAGATTTTAATTAAGCTGTTGAATAAGTCTTAAAATAAAATCATACTACTGTTAAAGTGGACCAAGTTGAAGCAGAATGTGATAGAGGATGATTAAGGAAGGAAGAGCTCAAGGACATTGGGAATGATAACTTTTCCACTTGAGAATTTTTTATGTTTTACTGTAATTTTTTGTTTTGTTATTTTGCAAAAGAAAATAGTATTTACAGGTGGCTTCTTTTAAAATATAAAAGTATAAAGCAGGAATGTATATGAAATGTCAGATTCTATTGTATTTGCAGAGTATTAGCTTTGAAATTGAATAAAGAGAGCTGTTTGTAGTTTTAAAATGCCATATTAGTATCAATTAGAAATTTCCTCTATTTTTTGATGTATCTAGAGCTTTTTAAGTATAGAATTTTAAATGGCAGGACTTTACAGTGTTTACATGCAAGTGCATTTTATAAGTGTTCTATATGTGTAAAATAGTATTTTCAACTGGAAAGAACTGGCTTGAGCACAAGGCTTGGCCTTTTCCTGGTTCCCATGATGATGCCTACACTGCTAGACTACAGTTTAGTACTGCTTTGTATCATGAGGCCAAGGATTTCCATGTTGTTTGTAAATAGAATAATTGAAAAGCAATAAAAATTTTATTGAACAAAAGAAACCTTGTTTGGCCCAGAGTTTATGTTTAAAATGTTTATAGAAGTTTTAAAATTCTTTAAACTCATTTCTTTTAACCACCAGTTATTAATAATCACATCCATCATTAATAGTTGCTTTAATGCTTGCACCTGGGAAAGTACTAATGCTTAATAGCAGTCAGACACTGATAACTGCACTGACTGTTTCAAAATTCTTTTACCAAGTTCTGAAACCTATTCATTGTTTTTGTTTTTCAATTTCCTTCATTGACTGCTACTAACCATTAGTTGTTAGTTGTATTTTATTTCTATTTTCTCCTGTTAACCAGTTTTGTGGGAGTGGGCTCTCCTTCATATGTTCAAATCATGATATAAGATGGTCATGATTTTATTGCATTCAGTAGATGGTGTCAATCAGTTTGTCAGAATTAAACATGCTTGTTTTTTTTTAATTAGTTGTGATTAGTTTTTCATGTTGTCATTAAGCCGTCACTAGCTGAAACTAATCTCTTCTCTATCTTTTCTTTCTTTTTTTTGTTTTGTTTTTTGTTTCTAACCACCCAGCCGCCACCGGCAACTAACCTATGACCTTCTGACCTCTGAACTCTTCACCCAATGATGACCTGACCATGCCTGCCTGCTGATCAGTTAACTGGTAATCGCCTTTGCTTGCCTGTCATCAGTGCAGCGAGCTGAGGCACTTGTCCGTTCGTCTTACCATCTAACCAAACAAAAGACAAAGAAATTGTTGTCCTCCAACTCCGCTTTTTCCCCCCCCGTTTGGGTGAAAGTGGTTCTAGAACCTGCACTGAATAGTAGTAAAGCAATAAGGTCCAATCCATCCCTCAGCACTGATCATCCTTTAGCGTTCCGCCCTAAACGAACGGTAAGAAGGCCTCTCAAGAAATGGAGACAAATGGCCCTTAACTACCGATGACAGAGGCAGTTACTGTGAGAGACTTCTAGGAATCCTTTTCTTCTCATAGGGAAGTCAAAGCGCTCTCTCTCTCTCTCTCTCTCTCTCTCTCTCTCTCTCTCCTCTCTTCTCTCTCTCTCTCTCCTCCCTCTCTCTCCCCCCCCCCCCCCGAATGTACTGTGCGATGATGCATCATGCATGAACCTTTGGTCAGGGATGTCATTGGTGAAGTGATTTCAAAAAGTATTCAAAATTTGACATGCTGTTTAGTCACTACAGTGCCCTCAAAGGGCAGAAGTTGCAGCTTTTTTTTATATTGCCTGCCAAATTTGATGTAGTAAAAGAAAGTGTGCCATGAAAGAAAAATTAACAAGGAATTTTGAAAACTAATGCAGAGAACAAAACTGCAACACTATTTTTTAAAAAAGAAAAAAAAATCTGAGTTAAAATTACCGAGCCTGTATTTTACACCTCCTTAAAAGATTATATGAGAACAAGGTACATGCATTATGTGTCACATTACTGGGCAAACTGTTCAAATATTTTTTTTAAACCTCCCTGTATAGAAAAATCATTAAGGATGTAAAAGCCATGCTTGCCTATTTGCTGTATACATGTAATGAAATTGTAGATAAAAGTGTAGTGCATTGAAACAAATGAACAAAAAAAAGTAGATACTTTTACTATACAAGGGTGCTGGTGCAGAAAAAAATATATATATTTTTGGAAATGTAGCATTTTATACTTTCAAGTGTTATAAAAAAAAAGAAAAAAAGAACAAAGAAACCCTTTATTTCATTAAATGATTTTTTCTGGTGGTTGTCAAGAAACAAAAGACCAAAAGAGCCTTTTTGTCTTTCTTTTTTATTTTTTAAGTATTGGAATAAGTCTAAAGAAAAGAAAGTGCCTTATTTTCCTTCATGGTCATTTAGTCAAGTGTCTCGTAAAATCAGCTCCTCCCTCTGATAGAAGTGAATGCATGCCGCTCCGCCCAGTGTGTGAGGGGGGGAGGGAGGGGCAGGGAAGACACATGAGTTGATGGTTTGAATTAGAAGATATTTGCTATGTTACCTTGATGCAATTTGCCAAATCTGATACTGTGAAAAAAAAATTTGATAACTTTTCTATCTTATGCCAGACTGCTTATTCATTTTTAAAACATTTTCATTCTTTTAAAATCATAAGTACTTTTGTTTCATGCACTTGCTCAACTCAAACTCAAAGGATCTGAGACAAAAACTGTGTTATTCTTTCTCACTATCAGATAAAAAAAGTAAATAGAGAGCTGTTTTGTTTTAAGGGGGTGACTTATATTCTTGATTGAAATAGTAGTGACCTATAAAAGACTTCACTCATTTCACAAAATAAAAGTTTGTGAATTTTACCAATTTTTAGTCTAAAAGTTACTTAAAACATATATAAAATTTTATGGAACTTCTACGACTGCCGTGTCAGATAATTTCTAAGATGCAACTTTTTCATTAGTTCTAACTTCCTTTGCTTTTGACTTTTAAGAGAATGTTAGAAATTAGCATATGAAGGCTCAACTATGTATCCGTTTAAGCTTCCTAATTCGTGGGAAGTTCAAACAGTTGGCCTTGTGTAATAGTTGAAGCAATTTGTGCACAAAGCTGATTTCTAAATACTTGCATGATTATTCAATTTGTTTTTTTTTTAACAACTCAGTACCAGACATGGCAAATTTATCAAGTGACATTGTGTTCCCCAACTTATCAACTCATTCCCTCTTACATACCTTCACAGCTTTGAAGTCAAAGGTCAGCAGTAAAGCTCAGTAAGCACCTGCATGGTGACCTCATCTATCACCTTGTCTCACTTGGAAATGATTTTCAGTTTATTTACTATGCAATAGACATTCATCCCTTCATATTCAGCTAGTTTTTGTTTAATGTGCCACCGCTTTGTCTTCCTGTTACATATGCAATATTTTGATTTCCTTACAATATATGCTGTGCCATTTTGATTTTTATTTTGGTTGGTTGAATAAAACTTGCGACACTCAAAACATTTGAGGAGAGATTTGCTAAAATGATACCAGTATTTGTTCCAGCTTCATCTCAACTATGATAAACCTGGACATTTTAGATGTTTATCAAAGGTCTTTTATTGGGAAGAAAGTAAATGTATGAAATACATGTGTGACATTTGTGAGTAATGTTTGCTCTAAACAAACTTTTCAAAACTTAGTTGACAAAATTTTAGATCAACTTAAAAAAAAGCATGACTTTTGAAATCTCTGAATGCCTTGGTTCTCAGTATTATCATTCTTTATTGAATTTATTTCTTATTAAAATATGTAGTTTTAAGACTTTTTCTGACAGTATTATGTAATTTTTTTTAGAGTGGGTAGATGGGAGTGTCGCTTGTATGCTACAGTACAGCTGACATGTATTTTGTCTATTCTTTATTATCTTAGTAGTTTCATGCTATGTATGTACCATAACCAACCTATTGCCTATGAGAAACATGTAAGATAATGTATTTACAGCCATTGTTACAAGTTTATAATGTATTTTTCTATCTTGTTTTATATGTATGTTATATAACATTCAAAAAATTTTTTTCCTGATTGAGAAAAGGATACAAAATGCAAAACCTACAATTTTGATAACTGAAAATTGCCAATTGTTTTGCAGTACTTTATTATATTGAGAGTGTTGTCTTTCTTGGGCTTTTAGTTAGCTACTGAATGAATACATTAGACACATTCGAGTTTTAGTTGGGATTTTACATAGCTTGCATTTTAATTCTTTGGTTCTTTGCTGTTTCTATTAACCCATAGCATTATTTTAATAAATGTTATAATACCAACCTACTAACTCTGGACTATGTCTGTTTATTAACCTATAAATGTTTAATTAAAATCAATAAATAAATAAAGACCGAAGAATGTAAAGTCTTGAGTTACTGGACTAACCCTGAAGAACGTGACCACAGATAACACAGCGTGACTTGTTTTTTATGTTGTTTGTCAGCTGACAATTCTGCACACTACTGTTAAGTTGGCTTTGGTTATTCTGGCCTTTTCCCTTGGGGGTAGATGCCAGTAGAGATGGGAACAAAGGAGTATCTACTGGAGGCATTCTTCTTGTAAAGTCTTGCCACTTGCCTTTCAGCATCTGCATTACTAATTCCACACTTTCTTATTTTTCCTCCTCCAAAATAATCACTGTCTGCTCACAGCAAAAGAGCAAAGAAGCTCAGTGTGATGATATACCAAGAGAAACCAGTTTGATTCTTTGTTGAACCATTTTCTCTAGCTTTTCCATAAGAAGCAGGTAATTGTTAAGGTCTATACTAAAAAGCAAAGAATCTGGTTATTTCTTACAATTTTCTTAATACCTGTAAAAAGTTGATTTGACATTTTTCCTTTGTAAAGCTTAAGCACTGTTAAACTTTTACTGTTATGGTTATAGTTATGTCCTTATTAGCTCAGAGAACTACAACTTACTAGGTAAAGCCAAAGGTTAAAGTGACTGTTTCTCATGAGGTGATTGACAGACATAAAAACATCAAATAACCTTTTAGACACCACTTTTGGTGTTAACCTCATGTTTTCTTTGCCCTTTCATATCCCTTCCTACCACCCCAACCCCCCTACCCCTTTAGATAATTGATTAAAACATGGAATTGAAGTGGGGGAAAACTAGCACTTAAAAGTTGCATTTGGTGAATTGTCTGTGTGCAGATTTTAAGAATTGTAAGAATGGTGACTACTTTAATGTTTATCCAAGTTGCAACCTTGTTAAAGCCACTTCGGTTTATGAACATAAAATTTTCTGTTACAAAGAGACCACCTTTAACCAAATAGTTGTTCTTGTGCCTCCTTTTATTTCACAGATATTGGTCACTTTCCTTTTCTGTGAAAACATTGTATTTTTCTAGATGATAAAATTCTAAAGGTGAATAATTGCATTTGTAAAAGCAGATTTATTTTTTCGGGTTGTAATTAATTAACCTCTCAAGTTACAAAAGGGCTTTTTTTTTTTTGGCCTGGGAGGAGGTTGGGGGAAGGGAAGTATTTAGGGAGTAGGCAGCCTAGATCGATGGAATAGATAGGCAGTGTCTCTATGGCTAAAACTGCCT